TTCGCAAACCAAGCGGGGCTGGGTGCGAGCTTCGTGTGCGGGCTGACATCGGTAACCCCCTTCTCCGCTCTGTGCTGCAGATGGAGCTGGAAGCGCTGCGCTCTATCTACGAGGGAGATCTGTGCTTCAGGGAGCTTAGCCCGGTTTCCTTCCAGTACAGGGTAAGGCAAGGTGAAGGTCCGCCAGTCGCTGCAGCGCAAGGTTCACCCTAAAGTTGCTCCGCTGCGTTGTAGTTGACGTACCAGGGTTTTTCTGAAACAAATGGGTATTCCATGGGCAGTAAAGGCTAGACCCGTAGGCCATTGTTTCAGGATCTTTGGCGTGACAATGCTTGATAGCACAATGCACGATATTGAGGAACCTGCTCCCAGCGCAGGTTTATTATCCCTTAGCTAGGCAGCCTGCTTACACGTCTATGTACTGCATAGCCAGAACTGTCAAACTGGCTGAACAAGCCAGCATGCTGAGTAATACCTAAACTAGGTGGTCAGAAATGTCACTTACAGAGACATTTATATGTAAAGCTCTGAACCTTCCCTGTTGCTCAGTTACAGGGTTCTAGTTTCTTGTCCAGAGGTACTTGACATGCCTTGTCTACCTGCTAAAGAGAAAATCCACAAAATGGTTTGGGCATGTGCACCGATACGATCTGCTCAGGAGAGAGGCACAGGGAGTGCTGAGCTTGAGATATGCAATTAGATTCTGGCGTGAAATTCTTCCCAGCTTTCTCAAGTGTAAAGACCTGGAAGTTCTTCTGGGCATGGACTGAGGCAGATCTTTGGATGGCCAGAGAACTTTACTGAGGAAAACTTAGGCACCCATAGGACAAAAGGGAGACTCCTGAAAAAGCCATATCCCTGTAGTAGGGGGGGAGGCATCTAAAATAACCTTTTTGTGACTTCTCAAGTAACTTCAGAATAACATTGGTAATTGTAATGAGATAAATCAATTTAATTAATAGCACTTGTAAGTGCAGCCTTCCTTCACTGATAGGGCTGTTACTAGCAAATTTAATTTCCTCAAAAGACCGAACGTGACATGCCTGTAAGTCTGCGACGTATCGTTCTACATTTTGCTAGCTTTGGTTGTTGCTAATTTTATTAGACAAAAAATATAATTGTCAAAAGTTAGAACTCAATTTAAATACTGTAAAACTTAGTGTCAGACAAAGGCAATCATGCATCTTTCCCATGAAGAAGAATTTGTATTACGAGAAGGCATATTGCAAGTAAGTGCATGAGAAGGTCGAAAGAATTAGTATGCCATTTTTCTGAGCCTCATTTGTCTTGCACATGTCTTGCATGCAAAACACAGCTGTTTTGTAATCAAGTGAGGCTACGCAATTTAGGTTGCACTGACAAGGAGGAGCATGGTCATGCAGCTTTCTGTATGGATTTGCTCAGTGCGCAGACAGTGCTTTCCTGAGAGAAGAACGCTGTAAACCATACCACCAGTTCTCTTCTTGGCAGTGGTGGGAACTAGACTGCAACACTGTAGGTGATGTCTTGATAAACGTTGCAGATTCCTCATTTATTTATTTATTATTTATTTATTTTGCCTCTAAAACAGATGCTTTTGAATGTTACTTAGTCCACTCTCCTGAAACAGGCCCTGTAAATAAAAAAACAACAACTTTTTTTCGTTTCTTTTTTTTTTTTTTAATTTTGAAGTACAGTAGTTTTACCTTGATGAGGACTTTTTTTCTGGCTATACTTCATTCCACATAACTTGATGAAGCCAGATTTTGCCTATTCTAAAATGAGGGAAATAAGGGATAATTTTCGGGTGGTTTTAGAATACGGATTTAACCAACTTTGTTGCACTGGTCTTCCAAATCCATGTATGAAACAGTTATTTCTGTTTGTATAGTATGCCTTTGGTAGCACCTGTACTAGTTTTAAATTAAAAAAAAAAAATCTGTTTTTTATTTAATTTAACATAATTGTACGGCTTGTGTATGTAATTTGGGTTCACTAAATTGGTTTGATGTGCATGATTATTTATATTAAAGTGTGCCTTTTTCTGATGTTGCACTTTTTTTATCCAGTCTCATTCTACTGACTTCTTAAATCTTTTACTACTTGTTCTTTCTTATAGTGAAATAAAATATCTGTAGGGATGAGATGTAAATATTGAAGTTCTTATCTATTATTTTTGCTATCTTAGGTCACTAGTTTATTGTCATCTTTATTTCAATGCTGTCTTGTGGTTTGTTTTCATATTGCTCTGAGCTTGGATGCGTGGCGGGGGGCAAGAAGGGTTCATCTTTTCTGTTCTCATGTATGATTGTATAATATTTGGCTTGCAGATGCTACAAAGTAGCTTTTAAAACCAAGCGATTAAAATAAACATGAAGAGAGCTTTGAATGTTTCTGCTGCTTTTTCTAGGATGAAAACTGCAGGGTAGAGATTAATATTGATGTCATAAATTGAATACTTTTTCTAGATAACAGCTTTATTTTCTGATAACTTTATGAAAATAGTTGTTATCTTAAGGAATTTTGATAGTCTTAAAGAAGTGAAAGACTTGCATATTGGCATTGTAATCCTTAATAAGTGACTGGAAACTGTTGACTTGTAAAGTTTTTCTTTTCCCTTCAGATAGGTGAAAGTGGAGATCCTAAAGCCTTTCTAATAGAAGTTTCTTGGCCTGAAACATATCCACAAACAGCACCAGTCATATCAATGGATGCTTTCTTCAACAACACAATGTAAGGATTTACGACAGCTTCACTTCCTAGCCTTATATGTGGGGGTTTTTTGGTTGACAAGCTTTTCTTCATCTGTTTAAATTATAGTTGAGTTTTATGGTTTCTTTTAGATCTTCAGCTATTAAACAAAGTATATTGGATAAGTTAATGGTAGAAGTTGAAGCAAATCTTGGAACTGCTATGACATATACACTTTTTGAATATGCCAAAGATAATAAAGAGTTGTTCATGGAAAATCAGCCTGTTAACACTGTGGTAAGTAGATAAATTCAGATTTAAATCTCTTGCTTTTAAAACTGAAAAAAACAGTTATTACAACACTAAATACTTCATAGCTCTGTCTTTAAGTTGTTAGTCAGTATATTGGGTATACATGTTAGTGGCTAAACAGTGACACACAGAGTATGGTGTCACAATGCTCTGTGGTCTTACTTGTTATATTTAATTGTTATTTTGCTGTTATACCAAGATGTTTATGGGCTGCAGTTCTGTCCCGCAGAGTAGGATAAAAATGGAGACTTGGAGCAGAAGCAAAACTAAAGAGAGCTGAAATGGAGGTTAAAGGCGTCTGCTCAGGGGTGGGGGCAAATTACTGCAACTTTCCTGGGATGCAATGGATTGCATAAGTGCACCTCCAGGTTCTTGAATGAGTCAGGCTGGGTCTATTTGTGGCTTTGTAAGGATGTTATTGGCCATTGTGGTGCTGCAGATTTGCTTTGAGGGAGAAGGAATGGTTTCCATGTTTGGGAAGTCTGAATCCCTTCAGGCTAAATCACACTCTGTGATTAAATTTAAGAAGTGTAAGATGTGCCCTTTGCAACTCTGAAAGGGAATAATTCCAATCCCCGACACATGGTTCTTAAAACTACAGTCATGATTATGTGTTGATTAAAAGCTGCAGGCTACTGACAGCACTGCTTTTTTCTGACACTCAAGATATTTCACTATGTCAGGTTCAGTAATCACACACTGAGGTATCTGTGGAACTAATATGCAAACTATTAACAACCATTTTTATCCTCAGACTTCAGTAAGCAATAGTATTGCAATTGGAACTCCTGATGTGCCAGCAAGTAAGAAAAAAGATAAAAAGGAGCAGTTATCCAAAACCCAGAAACGAAAACTAGCCGATAAAACAGGTTTGTTCACTATAATGTTGTTTTCTTTGAACAGTATGAGAATCCAAATTTTATAGCAGTGACATCTTGCTAGAGTCAGAATCAATAGTCATTTGTTTATCAGATTAGTTACTTTAAGTCTGTGGTCTCTGTTTTGCTTGTTTTAGATGAATTATTCTTGCCTGAGATGTTAGTTCTGGTCAAAACAACTTTCTATAGAGTAGGGATTTCAAGACGTCATTGGTTTTGTTTTATTTTCTTATTTCAATTTGTGACAAAAGTGAAATTTTCAAAAAATACTTGTGGGAGGAGAGCATTTGGGACTTCCAAAAATTCATTTTCAACAAAAGACATTGTTTGATGGGCCCTCGTAAATAATTCACATTATGAAAAATGCAATTTCTAAATGAAAGTATTTGTTTTGGAACCCAAAATAAAACATTTAATTTAGTTTGTATCCTCAAAATAGAGGTGCTTCTGCAGATACTTTATGCTTTCAGTTAAATGGTAGGCTTTTGATTGAAAAGCATTCAATATTTCAACTAATCCTGCTGATGACTTTTACGTGTTCAACCTTAATTTTTAATAATGATCTGGATAATACTATCCTATTGCAGCAATAAGTTGTACCCTGTACCCTGTGATAGCAATTTCTGCATATAATTTACCTAACCTAATGTATAATTGGCGTATTAAGTGTTGGCTATATAAAGGAAAAGCTGTGTAAAGTTTTGTTCTTTGACAAAATGCATCATTGTGGTCAGCCCAGCTTATGTTGAAGTTGCCTTCTAAATTAAATGTCAGATGGGCTGAGGTATTTTTATTTAAACAGAATTACTTCAAAGAACAAGATATTAAGACATTAATATCTATTTTTGGCCTCATGGCTTTGTAGTGGAGAAATTAAGGTTTTTGGATCTTTAGAATTTTGTGTGTTGATTTTAAAGAAGATAAAGATTCCCCTTAGCTTGTACATTGAAAATAAAACCTTCTTGTTCTGCAGATAACAAAGGGGAGCTTCCACGAGGATGGAACTGGGTGGATGTAATTAAGGTAACATGACTGTATCATATGCAGTATTATGAAAATACTCCATATGTACATTAAAAATAATTTGTACTTATATCTGCAGAAAACTAATCTGATTTTTTTTTCTTGCTTTTCTTCCTAATTTTGTTTGGATTTGACTGTGGTGTCTGATTCATTTCTGCATGCATCCAGCATGTAAGTATTTTCAAGTTGTCTTTTTAATATTAAAAAGATTTGCAAGGAATAGTCAGAACTGTTGCTCATTTTGGATTCTAATTTACATATTTCTCAAATGCTTTAAAATACTTAGTTCTTCTGAATATTAGAGTCAGAAGATCTTTGATTCCTCTTTGAACTTTGTTGGTTTAGTATTTCTTTTTTATTTATTGAGCAATTAAATTTTAATTTTATGATGAGAGAGCTTTGCTAGCCAAATGCACTGCAAATATTCTGTTGTCATATGGCAACAAGATGTAAAACAAAGTCAGTGGTGCTGCCAGGTTCTGGAGGGCAATGGATAAGTAAGCAGAAAACGGGAGCTGTCCCAAGTGGGAGCACCTTGCTGTCTCCTACAAGCCTGAGCATTCTCTGCTGCAACTCCTACAGTGAATAATTCTTTTCTACTTGCTCCCTCAGCATTGATTTCTTCCACTCTCTTGTCTTTGCTGATTCAGTGGAAATCAGTATAGCTGCTTGACAGTTTTGAAAGCAAACTATTTTATTTTATGCAACTATAAGGAATTCTTGGTGTAAGACATAACACCGGTTCCAGTTCTTAAATAAGAGCAAGTAAATGATGAGGGTGATTTTGGGCAGAGTTGTTCTGAGTTCAGAGTGGCTATTTGTAGTGGATGTCTTGGATTCTAGATAGATTTCACGATAGATGCACTACATTGAATAATTGTAAACTGAGCTTTAAAAAACAGAGAAATAGTAAGTTAATGTCTCTCTTTCTATTGTGTAAATTTCTGTATGGGAATTCTCTCTGAGATGTGTGGAGGTACTTTTTTCCATTACTTAATCTTTTTTATTTTGGAGAGCTGGTAACGGAGTCTTCAAATTAAATAGAAACAGTACCCTGAGAATTTTCTGGGGTTTTGTGGTGTTGTTGTTTTTAAAAACAACTTTCACATTCAGGAAATAAGCTTATTTAGTGTTTAAGCTTAAGAAATAATTTTTGATGCTTTTCAGTCTCTTGGTACAGTAGCACAATCAGTCTGTATTACTAATTAAATATACATGTTTTCTATGTAAGATGGAGATAATGTAGTTCTTGTTTCCTAATAAATGGAATGGCAGTCTAAACTTTGAATACTTTCTTTTTGTGTCTCTTTTATAGTTAAGCAAAACTGGTTCTAAAGATGATGAATAAAGGACTTTGGTACAAGGAAACTCCACCTTTTAATACAGTACAATTTTGGGTCACCATCTTTCTCTTAATAACTTTCGTATTTGTTGAAGTAAACATTTTATAAAGCTCAATTTCCTAACTCGCAAACCTAGTCACACAAGTTTATCTAGAGACTATGTGGTCTTCTTTGGGGAAAAAAAAAAAAACAAACTTGCCTTAAATGAAGGTTAGAATGTGGCAAAGGATACAGAGAGCCAATGTGGTGAATAGTGCTATATGCAGTGTTTATTAATTTATATTTTACTCTGTAGTAAAATCCTGTTATAGTGAACCCGATGATACTGTAAACATTTCCTGATGTTCTTATTCGAACTGAAGAAAAAAGCACTATAACAGTGATTGGTCACTTGACAGCATAATTAAAAATAAATTATTCCATGGAAACAAGACCTTTGTCATTTGTTTATCTAATATGAATGTGGAAGGAGAACATAAAAATTGTTACATTGCAATACAGCCTAGAGCTTGTGCTCCCGTTTTCACTAGTTACTGGCTGAAATAGTAAATACTAGAGAAAGCAAGGCCAAATATTCTAGTCTGTTCAAAAACGAGTGGTTACAGCAGGAGTATGTCTTCTTTATTCCCTGTGGTATCCATCTATTAGTCTTTCTACAGTATGCATCTTACAGAAGGTTGGATGTCTGAGGGGAGGGAAGAGTGCTTTCTTGCACGTGTCTCAATGAGTGTTGAGATTTTGTAGCTCTTTCATTGGAGAAATGGGCATTTCCTGAAGAGGTTTGCTGACTGAGTGGTGGGACAGTGGAAAGAAGTCAGCATTCTGCCAAATGTGTTGGGAGAACTTTTTTTTTTTTTTTTCCCTAATCTGCTCTCTTGTATCAGAAAGAGAAGTCATCTTTACTATATGAACGGTTGCTGAATACAAGATGCCTTAATGTCCTTTATTATTTTTGTTTGTTTTGAGATGAACTTTAATAAATGCCTATTTATCTGCTGTGGTATGTGCTTATTTTTTTTTAAATTGTGTATTGCCTACTGCACTTCTAGGGCCAAGTTTGAATTTGCAAAGGATTTTCTATGAGAAAGAAAACATTCTTAAAAATTGGTGGAAGAATCATATCTTCCCTCTTTTGGTATGTGTTTACATGTTCTTCAGGGTAGCTGTGTTTGTTATTAATATGAGGGTCAGTCATCCCTCCTATAGTCATAGGAGAATATCCATCATGTTCAGTACACACAGCAAGTCCAGTGCCTCTTTGAAAGAGTGCGCTCCACTGCACGGGCTAGGTACAGCATTTGGTGAGAGGGGTGTTAGAGGCGCAGGCTGGATGCTCCGATCCGTGGTGCTAAGAGCCTTTGTAGCCAATAGAGGATAGTTGATGTGATTGTCATATTAGGACTTCAGTTGATGGAGTGGAAGTGTTTATGCTACTGTCTGTGTCAAGAGAGCTTATATGCAACATACATTAATATAGTTCTCTTAAATTATTTCTGTTTTACCAGAGGAAATAACACTAAATATATTGCAAAATGACTGCTTGTCCTCATATATGTATATAAAGGAGAAAAAGATCCATGAAATGTTGTGACTGCAGGTGAAGGAAAAAAAATTGAATTTGTTCTGTGGTTTTCACTCTTCTGAAGAGTCTGTGAAGAGATCTGAAAGGAATACGGTCTGTACTGCTGTCATCCAACAGGAAGCTGTAGTTGTTACTGAAACACTCAAGTTACAATTGGTAAATGTATGTGCTTCCTCAATAAGGAAAATACTGTTAATTCTTAAAGAATTCTTAATTTCAGAAAGTCATTATTTCTTTTTGAACTCTAGTAAAAGCTGGTAAAGTACACAAAGTAGGACTTTTTCCAAATGATGTAATCTTACCTTTGACATAAACTGGAGGCTCATGGCTGCAATCTGGGCAAGAGTGTCTGGCAGGGAGTAACACTGCGGGCAGAAGTTGCTCAGGTAGTACACGGTGAGCCTGTAACAGCAAAGGGCATTTGGCTGTAGTCTCGGCCAGCATCAGAATGGGCAGGACTTCTATTCACAACACCTCCAAGGGGAATTGACTTGTCTTTGCTAGTATCCTTGGTGTATAAATCCAGTTGCCATGACAATTTATCTGAATAGATTAGTTAGGGAGGGTGGGGGAAGGACAAATAAGAACCACATCTCTTGCTTCTATAGTGTTACCATGTGTAATGGCAAACTTCTTGTGAAATGCTTGATTTTTTTAGCTCCTAGTCTGCCTATACGTCACACAATCTTGTGAAGATATCCAAGTAATCTCCTCTGGTTCTGTTGGTAAACATGTGTTTGTTTAGAAGTCTACTTTCAAGGGAAATATTTTACATTGGGAATTTTTGTATCAATTTTTTGCTTCTGTGTAAATTTGGAAAGGTAATTTGTGTCCTTAAACCATTTTCTCATATGACGTGATGGTTGGAACAGGGTCATTTCAAGAATCTAGGTACTTGATATTATGGAGAGGCTTGAGCACTGATAACTGAGGAGAGGGAGCATGTAATGTTTCTTACCAAGAAAGGCACGACTGTAAATAGAGATCATGGCTACTGAGGGAATTCCAAACACTGTTGACAAGCAGTTCAAAAATGGTGGTTTATGCTTTATTTCAGTCGGGCAAGAGTCTGTTGGTTGTAGGGCCATACCACTGATTGAAATTCATGGGTTTTGCAGTAAAGCAATATATAAAAAAAAAAAGGTATGGCAGGGGCACAAGAACTGTCACTATTGCATTGGTATTTTATACTTTATTTCGGATGAAACTTCACAGAAGTCTTCAGTTGTATTTGCATGATGTTAAGTACAAGTTCATTTGGTGCTGTTAGTGCCAAGACCAAAGATGCTCCATTGCACTCTAATGTATTGAATCCCAGGGAATAATGCAGACTTCCCTTAAGTATGTTGGGTGGAGGGGTGACAGCGGTGATTCAGCAGCAGCGCGTACCTAGCACATCCTGCTCACCCCCTTGCTCAGCCCGGCACAGCTGACACTGAAATCAAGGCTCCTAATGTCTGCAGTACCGCTGCAACTGGTTGTATGTGGGGTGGGTGATTAGATTTTGGTGAGTAAAAGAATAGTAGGAAAAAGCCAGCCTTTCTTTAGGTAGGACCTTTGGTAGAAGTGCAGATTTAGGGAGACTATACGCCTTTCATCTGCGGCAATACAAGTGGTTTGGGGTTATGCTGTGAACTTCATGCTGTGAAAATCGTTGAACTGGTCTGAACCAGAAGTAGTTCCCGTTTGGAAATTGCTTCCTTCAGCTATGTTTTGTGGCTTGTAGTATGGCACCCTAAGCACTTGTAGTTAACAGCAGAATGAAGGGGGGAGGAAATCTTCATTCAACAGAGAAAATACCAGAAGTGTGAGAATTCTCGGTGGATTGGAGGAGGAAGTGGAGGGGGAAAAACATCCTCGTACAAAAAACTAGAAGAGCATAGGGGATAAATCTTCATTGCTGCAGGACAATACAACAAAACAAACGCTAAGCTTATGGTTGCAGAGCTATAAATTCTGTCATGAGGTTGGGTTGTAGTAAAAGACAAGGATTGTAGATTTTCTTTGTCACCTATTCTTTCACCAACATGGATTTGGCTTCATCTCAGAAGGGGGCTGCTCCATGGTTGTAAGAAGAATTTCTGTTTGTCTGACTGTTACGCTTCCTGTTTCTCTCTTTCTAAGCCCATGGAAGCAACCTCTGAAAGTCTGATGTACTCTCAGAGATAAGACAAAACATATTGACTAGGTACTGGAAAATCATGTTAGAATATTTGATGTGGGTGAAAGAAAGAAAGAATTGAAAGAATTGACTGTTTCTCTTCTCTCTCCTTCATTCAGAGCAAAGTGAGGAGTGACTCCAAATAGTTGAATTACACAAGATGTATGAGAATCTATATCCAGACACTGGTGTCCTATGTCAGACTGAAAGTTTGTCCATCTAGTTTAAAGTTTTACATAGCTATCCCTTGCTACTGTGTCTGAGCATTCATGCTTGTGGTTCCTACAGTAGTATGTGTTTTAAGTGTTCATATTTACAATACGTCGCAGAAATTTGAAAACTTACTGTGATTGCCTGCTGCAAGTTGCTTGTGTTGTGAGATGGGATAAGGTCTCAGCAATGTGAGAAAGCCAAACTGTAACTGCACAGCCTTAGTGGAGAGGAATGGGGTTGTGTGGGTGTCTCTGAGGGCGTAATTTCTTCTGCGGTATCTTTATTACTGGTAATGATCAGTGATGAGTCTAGGATGAGTTTGGAAGATACCATTCAAGAAAATACAATCTTTTCCTTCTCAAACAATTATCTGTTGTAGTGTCACTGAGAGGCGATAAACATAGTCTTGTATGGAGTCACTCTTCAGAGCAGGATCTTACTTTAAATCAACTGTCTCGTCAGTAATGCATTTTTTTATTTCCTGCAGGAATACCAAACATGAAGAAAGCATTGCTATCGACAGAGCTGGTGTCTCCACTGTAGGGAACCATTTGATCTCTTCTTGCAGGGAAAACTAGGGTTCAATTGACCTCGAAGAGAGAGATTTTATAATAGTACAGGGAAAATGTAGCAGCCCATTGATAAAAAGTACATAGCCTCTATAGATGGTTAACAAATTTGCACGGCATTATCAGCTTTGTATTTTTCTCTGAAGATCAGCACTAGAATATTACCAGCTTTTAGTTAACTGGCATACAGCATGATTATGATTTTTTTCCCCCTCATGCCGTATGTCTTTAGATGATAAAAGTACAGGATGTAGTATAGAAATCTGTTTCCTAGGTTAAAATAGTGCTAAAGTTACAAATCCACTCAAAGGAAGGAAATCAATCTTACTCAGAAATACAGATGTGCCAAAACTAAAGCTGCCTATGTGATGTTTATATGAGAAAGAATGCATAGGAAGATTTTCTTTCTGTGACTACATGTTTTTTGGGTTTTGTTTGTGGGTTTTTTTCCCCTGGCAGTGTCCAGGTGATGCTTAGTGCTTTGCTTCCTAGTGTCCCTGTTAGTAGGAAAGCAGTATAAAAACCTGAGTTTTATTATGCTCCTAAATCTGAAACGGGAAGAAAGTTTTCACTTTGTAGAAGTAAATAAAGAGACCTGTCCCTGGAACAAAGTGGACATTTGAAACAGGATGACCAGGTATAGAGGCAAATGAATCTGCTTTAATAAAACTGACTGGATCTGAGTGGCTTTAGTGCCTGTTTCACAGCCTATCTCCATGCACTGGGTCTGTGACATATAAATGGTATGGATAATTTTAGGTTGACTGTACAGCTACAGTCCATGTGATTAAGCACTGCTTTCAATAAATTTGTGTTACAGAAGTCAGCGCAGATTCTAATGTATTGTTAATGAGCTCTAGTTCCATCCCTTTTCATTTGATGGAAGGAGATATACTTACTTCTCAAAACAGGTATGCTGTCTATGAAGGTTACCTGGACTTGGTTAACAGGCATTACAGTCAGTCTGAAAGAGTTAAAAAGGTGAAGTTCTACAAGATCATGGTAGTAGCTTATGTGAATGTGGATCCACTATTTTTTGTATATTCCTTTCTCTGTTAACTTGCTCATTGTGATGTTTAAAATGTTCTGAGTGCAAGCAGACGTATTAGCTTATTAGCTAGCGTGTGTATGTGTAAAGTAACTGTGCAG